CTCAAAAGTTCCTCATCGAGAAGCCATCCAGTCATTTCAGTCGCCCCCTCACACGGCAGATTGCGACTCGAAACCACTCATCCCACCACCTGTAGCCTCCCCTCCCTCACCACCACACCGCACTACACCCACGCGTCCCCCTCTCCCTCAGTCCAATGACTTTGCCCACGCGCTCGTATCCAACACGTGGGCCCCCTTTGCTCCCGTCGTCGCCGTGACGCAGCGTTGCGCCGCCGCACTGCACTGCGCCTGCCACGCCCGCGCTCACGCCCACGCGGTCCGTCTGCGCAGCTTACCTCAGCCTCCGCTTTGCGCTGCGAGCTGCGTGTTGTGTATCCAGCAAGAGGTGCACGTGAGGTGAGGGAGGACGGTTGTGTTTGACGCGAATCGAGTCACGGCGCTTTTGTGAGAGAACTTGGGGCCGAGCCGACGGGTGGTGGGCAATTATGTGAGGGGGCGGAAGGATGAGGAGGGGTGAGATGCTGGAAGGGGGTAAGGGGGAGTTTGTTGAAAGAAGATGAAAGGGCTAATCTGTGAGAGCGATGGGATGGCCGACAAAAGTGCCTGTAGTGATGAGGGATGAGCGGTCGAAAGCATGGAACTTCTTACACTAGTTGGCTTCGCTTTCGCATTTGCATGACTTCTTTCACCGTGTTGCGCGGGAAGTACCTTTTGCAGTGTGTGTAAGGTACATACGAAGTACGAGAACGACCAAGAGCTGCAAGCGCACGCTCCAGCGGCCAGCGCTGCTTGGCCGGTCCTCACAAACTCAAAAACCCAGCCATATGAAAGACCGCTATACGTGACTCAAGCGCGCATCCACAAACCTCGTTCTAGAACACTTGGTTCCTGTTCCGGAACGGTGCAGAAGGTTCTTCGATTCAAAGTAGCACGGTAGGCGATCATGCAGGTATCCGAAACTCTTTTCATTCTCGTTCAGACAAAACGCGGGCGCTTTGAAGCAGCCTCGCGAGCTGCAGCTCTCCTGATGCGAACGGCCAGACGTGAGACAGGAACCACGTACCTGGTCGCATCTGATCTGCTCCCCACAAGAAATGGAAATGTTCGTGGAATGGACGACGAACAGTCGCGCCTGCCTGTTACTTGCCCCACCACTGCTATCGCGCTCCCCTGTCTCTGATGGACCGAGGTCCCGCTTTGGGTTGCGCCCGCACACGCGGCACAGAATTTGGCGCGAGATCGACAGAAAAAGTCTTGGTGGTGGGGAGTGAGGGGCTATGAGGTACAAGAGGGAACGAAGAGGGACAGACGCTATTAGAATGGACTGAGGTACTGCTCGAGATGCACCGAAATAGTAGAGACAGCGGTGAGGAGATGGGTATAACCGCGCAAACCGAAAAAGACAAGAATCCGAGAAACCATTTGCTCAATGCAACGCCATGGTCATGGGGAACATGGTAATCCCCTCGCTCCTACCAAAAATGTAACCCGGAAATATGGATTTTGCGCCGCGAGGCATCCAATCTTTACATGAATGTTGTGTAGTCCCATATGCCCATTTGTAGTGCTGCTGTACGTGTCTGATGTCATGCCACCGCCCGGCGTTTGTCGCGACGGTACGTAGAGAGTCTTGGGAAAAAGGCGTTTCTTGCGATTGCAAAAGATCAGCGTCCTACGCGACGATCGAGCTGTTCGACGCGGGCGCGGTATTGCTTGACGATTTGGCCAATATGACGAATCTTTTCGAATTCGGTCTGCAGTTCGTCGATTTGGCGGAGGATCTCGTGGAAGCGGGCTATTTGGGCGTCGGCGTCTTGGATCAGTCGGCCAGCGCGATCATATTGCATAGCCGTGGCAGACTGTGTTTGCTCGTTGAGCTGAGGCGCGGTTAGCTTGGTCGTCGCGATGCGGGGGACTAGACTCACGGCGGCCCATCGCTGCTGTATAGAGTGCAGCAAACGATCAAAGTGATGGCTCAATGCTTGTAGGCTCGTGGGATCGAGCAAAAGACGGCCCTGGCTCGAAGCCTGGCTGGCGGCGCGCGACGAAGAGCCGCCATTCTGAGAAAGAGCAAGCTGCTGGTGATGGCGGAGGGTTTGGATTTCGCCGGGGGAGAGGCCGAGCTGGCTGTCTGGAATGGACGCGGCCGGAGAAGCCATTGATTGAGGCGGCAGCGCAGGCCATGCGAGGCATTGTCTCTCAACTGCTCATGGCGGACGGAGGAGGAGGAGAGGGGTGGGTATGCCGTTTTCTTTGACGCGCGCGCAAGGCTCGGGTTGGGCAGAGGCGGGTGAGGTTGTTTGGCGGCGGTGACTGGTGAGAGGTGACAAACGACACGGGCAGACGAGAACCATGAATGGACAAGTCAGAGTCAGCCAGCGTGTGGTCCGTCATACTCCAGGTGGCACTGCACTGCAGCCCTATCTGAGGTGTCCGAACAAGTCGTCGCTACCAATGGCCAAAAGGGACGGGGGCCCGCGCCTTGCAAGCCCACCGACCACATCGCAACCACCAACTCCAATTCGACATCTCCTCTCTGGAAGACCCAGCGTCACGGCCTTGTCGCCGCCCAGCCACTCAGCACCTTGCAACCTACACCACCTCCCCAACTCCAACAGCGCCAACGTGCTTTTTCCCTCTCTCGCCGCGGACTCCATCCCAAACAATCCCCCTCATCCGCGCAATCACTAACCCATTGCTGCAGGTCCTCGCGTGCTGCCGCTCCTCGGTCCCGGACCTCTACTTGGATGGTGCAGCTGCCATCAATCATTGATTAGTATGCGGCAGTATGGCGAGCTTGGACAGAAGCAAACGCCGTACAAGCCACGGCACTTCAGCTCCACCTCTACCGGGTCGTTGGGACTGTGCGTGTGCCCGACATCTCCTTTTCCTTTGCTGTTTGTCATCTTCAAGCTGAGCTTTTCAGTCTTTTGCATTTCCCACCTGCTCTCAAACACCATCGCATTTTTCCGGCCATTTAGGATCGCGTGGCGCTTCCCACGCGCCCTCACGCGCAAGACATATCCCATTCATTTACTTGCTGTGGAATAAGTCCGACAGATAAATTCCACACAGCCGCTCATTGCTTCTTCTCGTTTCCTGTCTGCGAGACGCCACAGAGCCAGAGCTTTGCTTTTTGATGCCATTCTCAGCAACAGAGTAAATGCTTCTCAGGCGCTCAAGTGGCCCCCACGCCACGCCAAACGATCCATCAGTCGACAAACGCAGCGCCGACTCCGGCGCCGGAGGCCTCATTCGATCTTTTTCAGCCGTCTCCCAGCACCGAGGCATCGTCTCAGCAAGTTCCCCATGTGTCAGCCACAGCTCCAGCTCTTGCAAGGGCGGAAGCGGCGAAGCGAGCAAACAAACATCAAACGGGACGGGACGGCGGACGGATCGCGGACTGTCTCCGCCAAGCCGGACCCTGTCCAGCCGGGATGCATGTACACCTTCCCTTCCGATTTGCCGCTCCCGAACTGTGGTCCTGACGGAGACGTCCAGAGATCGGGATGTGGACAGAAATCCACTATGATCCGCATCTGGTAAATCACGGAGCTAATACCAAACGAGTAGGAGGCATGGCCTCCTTAGTCTACTGGCTAAAGGCGGCAGATGTTGCAAAACATGTATGCTGAATCCTCCATGTCTACCACTCGACCATTTCTTTAACACCTCCGCATGGCACGGGACAAACGCTCCGTCTCAGTCCCGCATATTCCTAACCAAGTCACTCGGACGCCGTGTCCCGGTGGCATTCAAATCGCGGACGACGGCTACAAGACTCGCCATCAATTTCCCCTTTGGGAATGAAAGGGGAATCTTGGCCCGACATTTGCGCACATCGTCTTTCCATTCTAGGCCTCCTCAACACCTTAAAACTAGTAGCCACTCAGACGTCTACAAGAACGAGGTTTAGTCTGAGGGGTCGTCTTATAGTGCTGCTATTAGTTTATGCAAGTAGTCTATAGGTAAGTTGCCGCGTGGAACGCTTATTCCCGGAAAAATACATCGGATTGTCCCTAAACAGTAGAACATTGTCGTCTTGGAGCGGATTGCGTGTTTCCGGTCCCGCTTATGCAAAACATTCGCCTATTGACTTTTGTTTGCGCCACAACGGTCAAATTCTTGTAGCTTAAATTCACATATCTTAAAGTGAATCGATCGGAGGGTCTGGCGATTGGCATTAATCGCGACACAGTATTTTACCATTTTATCAAGATTCTATTACATTAATTGAGAAATTAGGGGATTTCACATGGATGAATTGATTTTAATAGGAATTGTATACAGGGGGACTCTTGACCAATGTATTATTCTCCATCTTCTTTGTTAAACACACCAGCATCCAAAATAAAAACCGGTTTTCAGGCTGGAGAAGAGTCTTCTTTAAGTCGGGAGCTGATACTTGGTAAGCGAGAGAATCCAAAGGTTAGATTTAGCCATGGTGTTTACATTTGAATATCTTCGGATTCCGAAGATATTCATTCGATTGAAAGCTCACAGCTCTGACCCCTAGATCCTAACCACCATCACCACCACTAAGCTGTCGCCCAAAAGAACTGGAACCACGAGCTCATTTTTGGACGTCAGGACAAGGCACTGGCCTCTAGGGAGATCCTCTGCGGCAGTCGAATCAAAGCAGGCAGAATCGCTAGTGAGAAAAACACAGAAGCTCAAATCTCTGAACTTCAAGATAGGATCCAGGTCGAGACAAAAGGATAAGTACTGGAAAACAAATTCAAGTTCATATCCTGTGCTCGCTGGCTCGCCCCATCTCGCCTTTTCTCCATCTCGCGTCATCTGCCCTTTGGCTCTGGACCTGTCGAGAGGATTGACAAACCAGGAAAGGGGGGATAAAAGACATTGCCAAAAAAACAACACCACATTGTCAACCAACCTCCTTCAATGCGCATCCATCCCCCTTCCACTGACTCACACAGGTCCACCAACCGTAAATCCCTCAGACCGTGCTTTCGCTACCACACTTCCCAACACCGTAGTGGCTGCGCAAAAAGAAGAGACAAAAAGCTCCCGAGCAGCAGGTCAGCCAGGAATTGAACCTGGGTCTTGCCGCGGAAGAGAACGTCGCCGCGGGCATATGCTACCACTGCACCACCGACCCTTTCATAAACATTTGCTTGCTTCGTCGCTGTGTGCTGTGGGACCGATGGCGCAGGATTATATAGGTAATGAATAAACTGCCGTGCGGATTTCTTCTGCTGGGCCAAGTGACGAAACAACTGTGTCTCTTCTCACTTGCCAACACTTTGGCTTCGGACTTTAGAATAGAACAGGCGAGCAGTGGAGATGCATCATCCAGCCGCATCTCTTCTTTATCGCTACATTTTCAAGCGCATCAAAGCATGAAGCGCGACGAAAACTCAACGTAGGAAAGAAAGCCCTTTTTACACATCCTACATACACTAGACACTAAGACTAAGAATTATTTTTTTCGAATGCACCACTCGCCCCTCGCCCTCCCCATTCCCGCTCCCTATTCGAAATCCATCCATCAACCCCCCTAGCCCTATTCCAATCCGAATACAACCCAACAGACTACTACAGCCCAATCGAAGGTAATATGCTTTGAAAACCCCATCTCATCTGCACCCCCAATTCCTGCTGCTGCAACTCCTCTCATCGGAGTCCAAACATCCAATCAACCGCACGCCAAATGAACAGCCAATCGACGGATCAGCAACGCTCCCACGACCAAAGATCCAAAAAGCTGCGCCAAAAACAGGCAGCATCTCCGACGAGAATCTCTCCCCTTTCGCCTGCCAAACAGGCAGCCAGCTGCTCGCCTGAGTATTACGCATTACCTCCACCACCATACTAATCTAACTCGTTCGGTTGGTCGTTGGTCGTCTACATCCTGATGACGACCCTTACCCCGACAGCTCTCGCCTCTCGGACGCAGCACGCCAAACACGTGCGACCCACACGGCCGACGAGCGCATTCTCACCGCGGTCCGCACACCAGGCGCGCGCCAGCAGCGCCAGATCGGAGGCAGAGGCGCCTGTCGAGCCCAAGCCCCTGGGCGAGCGCGCGTCGATAACAAGAACCTCGCCCGATGCGGCCGTCTCGTCAAGCAGGCTGATGCTGCTCGACGAAGGCGAGCTATGGTGCGACTGGGCAAGCAACTCCAGCGGCGACACGACGCGGAACTTGTGCGACGCGTGGAGCGGATGCGCGGGGAAGCGGCGTGATGACAGTTTGCGAGGTGGAGGAGCCTCGGGAGGATGCGGCGTCGTCGAGTCGTGCCGGCCGTCAGGGTATGGGCTGTTGTTGGCGCCGGTGCTAGCGCCGCTGTTGTCATTGACGATGCCACGGCAGAGGCGGAGGAATTTGTTGTTGGGTGTTGGTGTGCAAGGGAAGGCGGTGATGAAGTTGACGTCATAGGTCAGGGCCAGAGTCGTGCTCGTCTCGGGCGAGGTGAATGTTAGGTGGGCCGAGTACGTTGGTGTTGGCGTCTCGTCCGTGTCACTGTCGTGAGTCTCCAGTGACGGGGGTGGTGTCTCTGGACTGAGGGCGAGCTTGGTGAATCTGATATCCGAGACAGGAACCTCGTAAAGATCTCTCGGGACGCTCAAGTCCTCTTCAGAAACAGCGTTGGCCTGCTTTCCCGCAAGGTAATCCGAGTCCTTTGCAATCTGGTCGGCTTGCTCAATTCTCGACTTGCTCTTCTTTCCCTGCGATGGTGGAATGATGGCATTCACTACATCAACCCACATGTCATGAAAGCCTTCCGGAACACATGGCGTACTTATCCACCCAATGCACTCTTTTGCACCTTCAATGGCACCAAGTACTCTTCCTATGACACTGCTCTTGCTCCACCAGCTACGTCCAGAGTACAAGAATCCGCCGTACAGATTGGCAGAATCGCCTAATGCAGCAACGGCGAGCTTGTCATTCTCCAATAAGGTGGACATGAGGAGGTGAGATATTGGCTCGCCGGGAAGAACCAGGCCAGAGAGGTACGTTCGGCTAAGCCAGCCACCAATGTCTGGAGGCTTACTATCATTGCTGCGTACAGACGTGTCTCTACGGAGCAGCAATGGTCTGAATGATGACGGTGGCGGAGGGGGCGTAACCGATGGTTGTAGCTGCACGGAGCGGCTGCTGGCCAACCTGCTGAGGTCTGGGCGCCTGAACGCATCGTCAAAGTAACCCCCTGAATCCTTGACAGATCGTGGAGAAGCAAGTGGAGTAGCCAGCGGGGTGCCGTAGATGCTCGTCGTTGCGGGTGTTGGAATGTCTTGCAGTTTGGCATTCAGGCTGGACGTTAGCTCGGACAAGTTTGCCCAACCCAACGACTCTGCAAAGAATAGCAGACCAGAAAGTTGCCGATCTCGGTGTCTTGGCTTCAGCCAGAATTCGGTCTCTCGAGGCTCATCGGTCTCTTCGATGCGAGTGTAATTCAAGGCCGCCAGGAATCCTCTTCGCTTTGGCGTCAGCGGCGCCGGCTCTTCCTCGATAATCTCGACATTTTCCATGAAGCGTCTGGCCAGGACGAGGTCCCAGTCGGTTTTGCGGGTCTTCATATTAGCGAAATTACGAACTTCTGCCGCCGTCAAATGCAGCTCGTCCGTGACCTCCTGAACACTCAACCCTGATATCGCGTCGAGCCGGAGAAGCAACTCTGAGGCCAACAAAATCTGAAGAAGCAGCATATCGCGCTCGCATGGTCCGCCAAAATGTTCCTCTTCAGAATCTCCCATTCCGCCTTCCCACAAAAGTTGTCCCAGCCGGATCCGCCATTCGACGGTGCTGAAATCGCGCCAAATCCCCTTGGTCCTTAGGATCCGGATCAGAGTCTCGATTTGCACCTTGAGGCCAGTAGGATCTCCCGTTGAACCGTCAAACCGCGGCGGCATCAGGAATTTGCCAAAGAGGTGGGCGTAGAGTTCTCCCGTCGACTGCGTATTCAGAATGGTCGTCTGCCCGCCACTGTCACGGTAGGTCTGGTGGCAACGACTCAGCTCCATCAATCGTTCGTAAATGAACCGCTGGTCCAGCCACTTGATTCCTAGCTTTTCCGGGGCCGACTGCAGCAATTCACGATTCAAAAAAGCCTCTTCATCCTCCTCCTGTGTCCGGAAACGGTCCGCTTTGGCCTCCTCGAGAAAGTGCTCGACTCCTATTGTGCCAATCTCCAGTCCTTGCGCACTCAGCATGCTTGGCACCTCCACGACGTCGATTTCGTAACCGGTGAGCGGTCCGGATCCGGGAGTTTGTTGACCAAAGTCGCAGAGATGAGGCCTCAAGGTCGCCGCGGCGAATGCTGCGTGGGGTAGCCGGGGACAATCCGACACGTCTAGCACGTTTACATCCTGATCAAACGGGAAATCGACCTTTGGAGCTCGCCGGCCTTTGGTTCTTTCGACTGCGAATCTTGGGGCGCCAGAAAAGAGCTTGGGAATATCTTCTGCGGTCAAACCTACAGCATCCATGGTGTCAGCTTCTTGTTCCATCCCCTCCATCTCTCCTTATTCATTCCCCCTAAAGACCGGACCACATGGAATGGGAGCAGGCGGCGGCCAATACGCACCCCTTTGGTCAAGACTCGAACGCTCTTCCGGTATGACGTCGGACTGGGCGTCGTCGTCGTGTTCGCCATCGATTGCAGGCGTGACGAGCGTCTCACTTATCGAACGGGCCGAGGGAGCGGCGGCGGTTCTGTCATGGTCGAGCTTGGTCAGGGTAGCTCTCGAGCGGCGACGCTTCTTGAGGGTGCCTCTGACGGGCTCGGGGACAAGAGATTTGCGGCGCGGTGGGGGCGGAGAATCTTGTTGCTGTTTACAAGCAAACGGCATGTCAGCGCGTGCTGGTAGCATGCAGGGAGGGGTACCAACGTGGAGAGGATGTTCGGCGGGGGAGGGGGTCCTCCGCAGCTGCCATCTCTCCTGTATCTCTTTGGTGAAGGAGGAAAAGAGCTGGCGGAGGTAGTCGCGCTTTCTTGGGCGGTGGTCTCCGGGAGGTTTTTCAAGCGCGGCATCCTGATCAGGCGCGTTCCTCCTGCGCCAGCCAAAGGGCATGTTGCACCTGGGGCGCTGGGCGTGGGGTGCAGCGGCGGCGGTGACGGCGTTGGGGCGTTGGTCGGGTGTTTTGCGAGGCAGCAACGTATTTCTTCTTGCCGACGCAGCAGCAGACGAGGCACTGGCAGACGAGGCCTGAGCAGCGCTCGCAGCATACACCGCTCATTGCCCGATATCGCGCGCGTGCGTTCAGGGGCGAGCGTCTTTTGGGAGGAATCAAAGCTTCCAGGGCCAGGTCGGACCGGCAGGTCATGATGGGCAAGAGAAGAGGCAAGAAGAGAGGTGTAGCAAGCGTGTCCGGGAGGTTGGTTGCTGCACTGTATCACGGCTGGTGGGCAAACAGGGCCACACCCTGGTCGGGCAGAATGGGACTGTTGATACGGATAGCTGGGCCTGGGGCGGCGCTGCTGCAGGTGCAGATGCACGCTGCCAGGAGGCTGTCTGTGCGAGAAATGGGACGCGCACAGCGGTCAAAGAGGGCGGCCATGGGGAGCGTGGTGTTGATGATGATGACGGCTGAAAGTGTTGAAGAAAGAGGTGCTGTGTACTGACAACAGGTACTGCTAAGGTACGTTCCCAGGCGGCTGGCTGGGAAGAGCTTCGACGACAGCTTCTCCCGCGCTTCCGCTCGACTTCTGGAATCCGCCCGGTGCCCTCGGCGCAAATCACTCTTGGCACCGCTGCTGCTCGCCTGACTCTCCACCTCTGTCTTTAATCCCACTTCATCCGCGTAAACACCCTCGCCAACTGCAGCCGTTCCATTTGTAAAAGTGGAATGATGCCCTCCAGCGATCTAACCACCGGCCCGCTTCTGCGCGGCCTGTCACATCCCCGCCCCAGACTCGGCTCAAACAGCTCCAGCTTCACTGCCCCGTCTTGACATGAAAACCCTTTCTTTCCTTCGAATATTTCGTGTCTCAATTGGGTCTCAGCTTTACCAATTTCTGCCGCCGAGCATCTTGGTGCTCAATCGTGTTTTGAGAGCATCCATGCAGGAAAACCTGGTCCTAAAGTGGGATTCGGAGGGGATTGGTACTCGTAGAAAGCTTGCGTTGCTCAATCAAATGTAGAAAGTCCGCC